CTGGTAACATCTAGATTAGATTAGTGCAATGTGTTCTATGTGGGGAAGCCCATAAAGGCTGTTTTGAAGTTATAGTTGGTACAGGATGGTGCAGCCAGAACACTAACTAGAGTGGGTCATAGGGACCGTATCACTCCAGTCTTGTTCCATCTACACTGTTTCCCAATTCAAGGTGCTGTTATTGACCTTTAAAGACCTATACGGTTTGGGCCCAGTATAGTGTATCTTCCAATATTGTTGTCTTCTGCCAACAGGTGAAGACTTGCTTTGTTTGGCATTCCTCTACAAACTCTTTGTAATCCTTCTCTATGTTTATGTGTTTATATTTATTATGGGTTTATATTGTTTTATTTAATTGCTATATATCAATATATCTATATCTATTTATATATATACATATATATATGTATAATTGTTGTTTAATATTTAAACCATTTGTAATGTTTTAATGTTCACCATCATAGGGACCCTGAACTGGATGGGAAGTCAGGATAGAAATGCTTTAAATAAATAAATGTAGGAAGGACTCGAGATATTAATCTTACCTTTGCACTCTGGCTTCATAATTCTGTTCCTTCACCTTAGGTGGGACTGGCAACCTCCTACAGCAAATCCTTTCTGGATGACAAAAGATGTTTGCCCATGTAGGATACCAGAAGCACTAACCAAGATGCATTAGTTTAGGGACTCACTGAAGTATTGATGCTACTGCAGCAGAAATGGCTGCCAGCATCATTGCAGAGGGGGTGGTGAATGTTATGCTCCCACATTATTGCCGCTGACAGATAAGGAATGCTCTTCTCCCTTCTCAAATACACAATAAATGACATCTGACATTCTTTGTAAGATAGAGCTTGGAGTTGCTAGAAACAATTTCAATCTTTATTTTATTAATTAATGTTTAATTTGAATTAAAAAACAAGTGATTCATCAGATGACACACACATATCTCAGTTTTATTTTTGAAAACAAATGATTTGTTATTAAAGATACAAAAGAAAACTTTATTGCCAGTGCAGTATAGAACAGTACTACAATCATTGTTTCAAAATGTACTGATGTTTCTTGTAAAAAGCAAACATTTAAGAAGAATACACTGGTGGTTAAATATTAGATTATATTAGCTTCTATCCAACACAGATTTAGTTTTCTTTAAGGCCACTGAAATCAATGAATTTAAGAATACTTTAACTATGTTGGATTGTGGCCATAGACTACCTGTAGCAGCTTCTTTAATGTCTCCTTTACTACTTTATCTAGTAAATGAGCAGCAATGTTGCAAGTATAAACCGTCCAACAGTGATCAGACGAATCAGTAGATGTTTTCTTGCAATATATTGTGTAGACATTTAATTGTCTCTGGTGATCACATTTGCAAAAACAAAAGTTTATAAGTGTAATACAAGTCAACAAAGATAGGGATTGTATTTTGTTCTTTATTACAGAAAAATACCTAAAATTATCTTGTTATTTTTATTCACCTTTTAAGACTACAAATGTATGGAAATTTCCAGGAGGATTGTCTGAACCAGGTGAAGACATAGGTAAGAACTTGGATTGATGGAACTATTACAGTAATGGCTGCCTTTTTAATCCAAAAGCAGTTAACTTGCAGGCTTCCACTGGTTCCACATTGACCAAGGTCTGCATGAAGAGGAGTGTAGGTGAAGCTGCCAGCATTTGCAGACTGAAGGCTCCAAAAGTACGTTCAGTGTTTAGATGCAACACCTTCTACTTTTTGCCAACATTTCAACAGTTATCACACAACTCACATTTTTCTACATGGGACAGATTAGGTGCAATAACCCTCATTATTCAGGCAGGCATCACAACATTTGCACTGCTTGTGCATCAAGGATATACTCATTTTAGTTACTGAATTACAAGTAATGTTGCTTAATGTGTTCAAGGCAGGCTGACTGGAAATTTATTGAATGATAAATATTAAGTACATTAGTAAATAACATTTAAAACTCTTATGTACTACATACATTTTCATAGTTTTAGAAGATTTTCAGTATCTATCTCAAAATCTTTTATACTTTTTTCTTTTCAAAATGGATAGTTGATTAGCAAGAGAGATTCATTAAAAAGTTATTTGAGAACACATTTTCTCAGATTTCTACTGTAATTAATTATGTAATGCATGTAGTTAACAAACATTTACAAAACAACAGTGGCTCTTTGTAGCTGTAATGCTGTGTGATTGCCAAACTGGGCAACTGTTAAGTCCTTGTTGAAACCCTAACCACAATCAAATAAACTTGGAAGCAATTAAAATCAACAGGTCCATCATCCACATATGTTTATGACGGAGGTACATATATATCACACATAGGCATGTAATTCAGGCATATTTACACATACTGGTAGATCCTTTGCTGAACGATAGTGTACTGCTTTTTCTAACCTTCTATAAATATAATACTGAAGAAGAAGAAGAAGAAGAGATTGGATTTATACCCCGCCCTTCACTTGGAGTCTCAGAGAGGCTTACAAACTCCTTTCCCTTCCCCTCCCCACAACAGACACCCTGTGAGGTGGGTGGGGCTGAGAGAACTCTGACAGAAACTGCTCTTTTTCAAGGACAGCTGTGCCAGAGCTTGTGACTGACCCAAGGTCACATCAGCAGGTGCAAGTGGAGGAATGGGGAATCAAACCCGGTTCTCCCAGATTAGAGTCCACGCACTTAACCACTACACCAAACTGAGACATTAATGATAATTTATTCCTTCCACCAATATATAAAACACTTCCACAGGCAACATTTATTGGAATTACCAGAAAAGAAAATCCTTGGCATTTAGACCTGTGCTCGCTTGACCATTTTGTTGCATAACATAAGCCATAGGCCTACTATATATAAAAATCCTTTTTGAGAAACTATTGACTTGTCTGCATTTTCCAGGCTAACAGAGAAACTTCTTTAATTAGCTCTACTGGTTTTTAGTAAACCAGCTCTTTTGGGGGAAGGGGAATTTTGTATATGTGAGCTGAAAGTGCATTCACTTTCATGTCTTCCTGTTGCTGCAGGCTTTCCTTGGGGTTTGGCTGCTCACAAATTAGGAACCTAAACATGCTGTTTTGTTCTTATTGATAATAGTTTCAGAGGACAGCTGTCTGCAGTATAGGGTTGCCAAGTCCATCTTCCGCCCCAGCGGAGGACTTTGGGGGGAATTCCTGGAGGGGGCGGGGCATCACCGACGTGATGATGTCAAGTTGGGGACATCCGCCCCCCCCCCCCCCCGTGCGCTCGATCTCCAGAAAAGCCAGTTTCCTGCACTTAAAGGGACCGGCGTTTCCCTTTTAAGTACATGGAGCCGGTGTTTCCCCTTTAAGAGCAAAGAGCCAGCGTTTCCCTTTTAAGTGCCAGAGCTGGCATTTCCCTGCAAGCCTGATCTCAAGCGGAGATCGGGCTTGGGAGGAAATGTGGTTCCATGAACTTAAAAGCAGCCACCCCTCTCTTTCAAGAGAGAAGGGAGAGGGGTGGCTGTGGGTGTTGGGGGCGGGTCCCCCCCCCCCAAAAAACGAGGGGCCCCTGGCAAACCGGGGGGGGGGGTTGGCAACCCTACTGCAGTATTGGTCTGATGAAGGGAGCTTAGACTCTCAAAAGCTTATACCCTCAAAATCTTGTTGGCCATTAAGGTACTACCGGACTTGAATCTGTCTTATTGATAACGTAATCTGATTGAAGCCTAAATATCCCTATTCTGTCAAGGTCTTTAAGTAACACAGAGATGTCTTCTGGGACCTGACTGGAGCTCCTTGCTCCAATATGACATGAATGTACTCTAAGCAGTAATGTTTTCTACTAAATGTAACCTTGTATCGTTTCTGCTTGATCAAGTGCTAAAAAACACAAACTGCCTTTTATTTCTCTCACTGAATGTTTAACCTAACCAATGTAAAATTCTGTCGGGAAATGTTCTTCATAAAAGGTTTGGAAACCATAAGGTTAAGTTGGGTTTTCTAGTACTGAGATTGTACCTATAATTAAATTGAAGAGGTAGAAGATAAAAAATAACCCTAACCAATGCTCCCTCTAAGCTGTGGAGTCTTGTGAGCAAAAATTCTACCTTGTGAGCTACTGGCATTAAAGTTGTGAGCGAGCGGTTTGGCTACTGCATGAACCAGTTGGCTCTGGAGCCCTCCTTCCTGGGCTAAGACAGAAACGTGTGAGCCGGAGGCTAAAAAACTGTGAGCTGGCTCACAATAACTCAGCTTAGAGGGAACACTGACCCTAACCTAGTAAGCCTCAACAGTGTTTTGCAAGAAACTGTGTAATATTAAATTACAGCATTTCGGATGGAAGTTTCTACAGTACGTTTTTTAGATCACCCACAAGAATGAAAGCAGCCCATTTTTGTGGCTTTCCCCCACCCATCTAACAGAAGGAAAAGCAGACAAAATTTACATGGGGAGAAGCCAAATTCAGGAGCTAGCAGGGGTAAAATGGAGAAGCAAGGACTGAATCATGGTGAAAATTTCCAAAATGTATTTTCCGATTAAAAGTAACACAAGAATTCTGTCTTCCATTTAGGAAACACAGCCATTCGAGAGGTTTTTGAAGAGACCGGCATAAAGTCAGAATTCAAGTCCCTCATAAGTATACGGCAGCAACACAGACACCCTGGAGCCTTTGGGAAGTCTGATATGTATATCATCTGCCGCCTGGAGCCCTGCTCTTTCAACATCAGTTTCTGCCAACAGGAATTCCTGAGGTGTGAATGGATAGACCTAGCTGAGCTTGCCAAGACAAAAGACACTACTCCAATCACCACCAATGTAGCTAGACTACTTCTCTATGGATACAAAGAAGGGTTTGATAAAATTGATCTAACCATGAAGGAATTTCCAGCCGTGTATACTGGCCTTTTCTATAAATTGTACCATAGAGAATTACCAGAGGATTACAGAAATATCACAAACTTACAATAAATTGGGGGGAGAGTGTTGTTGTAAGTCAAGACTTACTAACATTTTTGTGGATTTTACTTTTAAACAAAAATTCTAAAAGGATATTATATATTATTTCATTTAAAAGGCTAAACAATTCTGTAGATCTGCACATTTTAAATTCCTTTATGCTGAATTGTCCAAAAGTATTTTGTAACATTATTCTAGGATCCTCAAGTAGAAAACAAGTATAATATTGACTTGGTAACAGATGTGTATAGGTACTTTATCCTATCACATTCTCTAACACAGACAGGCACATCCTTATGCACATGTTAAAAGGCACAATGGCTCCTTGAAATAAAGTAATTTAAAATCTGCAGTATACACAGTTCTCCATAGTAATAATCAGAGATCAGTCAGCAAATGGAGTTAATCCTGACAAATATTTGGTCACATTATTCTGTCTTGTGAGAAGGGGGAGGTGTACCACTGCTGTGGCACACTTTGTAGACTCTCTCACTGTAATCAGCATTTGGCAGACATGGGAAGGAAAAGGATAGCTTTCTGGCCTCGTCCAGTCTTTGGTCCAGGTTTGAACTGCCCAGTTCGTTTCAGTGCAACATACCAATCATGGTATTTCCGAGAACGATATGTATTGTAATTATTAGATTCCAAGCGTTCAAAAAAGAAGCATTCATCTGTTACATATTTCTGAAAATGAAGGAACAGCAGTCATAGTCAGTTGAGTCAGGGGTTTTTTTTCCTAGTCACCTTGGCATAATTCGATCTTCCTATCTAATTAAAAGTTGATGATTCTTCCCACTTAGCAAAATAAGTGACTTTATATTAAACCCACACAATGTAAGCACTTGTAAACATAGAAGTAAAAACAGTAGCAGGATATTTAACATGTCAGCTTTCTGTTACCATAAACCCTCTACCTTATGTAATGTAAGCAGTAATTCTGTGCTTTAACTATTTTAATAGTGCAAACTAAATATAACCATTATAGATTACCAATTTGCCACAAAGTTAGATTAAATTATTTACTAATGTTCCCATCTGGTCAAAGTTAAAAACAGCACACATACATAGCAACCGACTGGAGTTGCACATACAGTGATAATAGGAAGTTTCACATAAAGACATATAATCATTAAGCCAATAAAGCAATATTTTATCCTTGGCCATAACAATATTTCCTCAGGGCATGCAAATGTGAACCAGAATTACTTTTAATATTGGTTCAGAGATATCAGAGTGTTGGTTCCTTGTGATATGCAGGCCTGTCTTTCGTTCTTTATTTGGTGCCTCAGCCTGTAGTGAATTATTTAAAACCTGCCTGGCCCCTCAAAAGAAAAGATACTTTACTTTTTATGTGTGTGCAACACGGTTTCGACCACTGAAAAAAGCCCTTAGGCCTGAAAAGTGTCTGGCTTAGTGGTTATATATCTTTATGTGAAACCATTGTTGACATCCTGTTATCATTGTACGTGCAACTTCAATTGGTTGCTGTATATGGCATTTTTATTTTCTATGTATGTGTGTTGTTTTTAACTTTGACCTGGTGCACCGTGCAATAAATATTTACCTAACGTGATTTTCAGGTTGGGTTTGTTTCCCTTTTTATACAGCAACCAGTTGGAGTTGCATGTACAGTGATAACAGGTTGATTTTTCAGGTTGGGTTTGTTTCCCTTTTGTTGAATCCAAGAGAATGTTTCACACCTAACTACAAACTATGGTTTGTAGGAACGAGCCTGGTGGCTTCTTGGATTTGCACAGGTCCCCTCTTCTCAGCTTACTTTCACAGCAAACCATAGGTTATTACTTCAGAACCATAAACCATAGTATGTTCTCCTCCAACCAAACCAGTATTCCAGACCAGGTTGAGAATAGAGTTTGGAGTTGGAGAGAAAAGACCCAACTGTAGTTAGTGGTTCAAACTTAATGACAAACTGGTTTCCCACAAAAATGGAAGTCTCTAATTATCAAGCCATATATAAGCAGTGGAGGAAGTGGGAGAGAGTACCTCAGTCCAAGGATCCCTTAGCTTGTTCCTGTGGTTTGTCATCATGTATAAATCATTTCAACAAGTATATACATGTACAATGCTGTAAATGAAAGTCTTTAAAGCCAAGAAAAAGCACCAAGATTAGCCTCCTTGGTGACTGTCACAAAGTAGTGAAACCACCTTTCCTGTCCCAAAACCTGAATGTAAAAGTTTTATGGTTCCTTTATAATGTTTATTTATAAATGTTAGTACATCCTTACCAGTGCAAGCAATCTGCCATCTTCATTCATAGCAAGGAAACGATTTGCACATACACCTTTGATTGACACAACTCCTCTCTCTTCTGCCTGAAGTAGCAATTTGACTAGACAGAAAGAAAGATGACATCAATTTTCAAGTAATACCCATGTTTTGTCAAGTGAAAGCTGTTTCTCAAATCACTTAAAATTATAAAGCATTTATTTTTATAAACAAATGTATCATGAGTGGAAAAGAAATAAGGTGTACAATAAACAAACCCTTTCTTTGAAATTACATTCTACTTTTGAGTTCATTGCACTACAGAATGAACAGGTTGCCACTCTTCATTTAAATTTCAAAGAAGAACACACATATATACCTATACAATTAACAGAGCAATCCTGAGTGGGGGCTGAATTGGAATAGAAAGCTGACTGACTCTGATACCAGTGTAAGTCAAGTTACGCTAGAGTAAGGGCAGTTTATGCTAGTGTAGAGCACCAGCAGTGCCAAGGGTACAGGCCTCCGTTCCCCCAGCCACAGCCACACAGTGCACAAACATGATTAGTGGCTCACAGAGAGGCCATGGTTCCGTGGGGAAAATGCCACAGATGACTGCTCACAGCTTGGCCCAAGGAGAGCCATTTGGCCCTGGCGTCTGCAAGTCAGCCCACAAAGAGTGCTGGACTGCTTGTCAGGACCGTGCCAATGCCATCACAGCATGCCAACTTGGCAAGGCCCAGCTGACAGTGCCACAGTGGGGATTTGGTCAATTCCAGAGGGCACAGGCCTACGGAGCCTTGATGAAGCCATCTGTATCCCAGCCACCCCTGGGAGTATTTGGGTACGCAAATGAGGAGCTAGAATGGCAATCCAACAGCGGCAACTGTTCAACACATTTGGGCAGAGCACTCAGGATGGGCACCGTGTAAGATACGCATCCCAGCCTCTCAGATGGCCCGGTAGCTGCATGTTTACCATGATGGTATATGGCACTGGTGTCCCTTGGGAGTGAGGCTTCACAAATGAACTAGCATCCTGGGGCCCAGTGCCTACAGTGCTAGGAGCATCTGCCTGTCGTGGGCTGGATGCAAAGGTCCTTAACCATGGAGGGATCAGCCACTCCACGAGCCCCCACCCCCATTATGTTTGCAGAAATTGCATTGGATGGCCCTTCACACCTGGTGGAATTTCCTAGCTCTGTATTCACTGTCATCCCTTCCCTATTCAGGGGATCCTATTCAGTGTGAAGAACAGAATGGCTGGAAGGGTGAGGCCACCTGCCGGCAGTAACCATGGGGGGTTGTAATTCACAGGACCACCACAGTGCTCACTCTGCTCTGACTAGCAGACCACCCTGTTATTGTCAAAGACATGCAAAAGTGGGCATTTGCTGGGAGGAACAACCATTGGGGGAACCTGTACAGGGCCATGATGTGTCCATCTCCATGATGGGGTACAGCCATCATGGGAGCGGCACCATTCCCTGGCCGGGCAAAAGGGAGGAGAGGCCCCCCCAGCTGCCACTGGGATGCCTCTGGCACCAGATGCATTCCCGCACACTCTCCAGCTCCAGATGGCCCCTGTGGTCCAGCCTCACATGAGCTGCCAGTGATGGTATGGGATCTCAGTCCAACCACCCTCCACATCAGCTGCACCAAAGGGTGTGGGAGGTGTTAGCGCATGGCAATGTTGTGCAGCATGGCACACACTGTGAACAGCTTCGCCACTGCCAAGGGTTGCATGGCTCTGAGGCCCCATGTAGTGGAGGCATCAGAATTGCATCTTCAACTAGCCAAATGCCTGTTCAATGTCCGTGTACGTTTGGCAGCAAGCTTGGTTATGGGCTGTGTGGTCTGGTGGGTCATCTTCAGGGCATGGCATCAGCAAATAGGCAGCAGAGGATACCCTCAGTCACCTGGAGCAAATGGCATGTTAGGCATTGGGGTACTGTCCACTGTTGAATGCCCACCCAGCCATGGTCACCATACTGACCCAAGAGCCATCCATTGTCCTACAGCCAGGCAGCCAAGAGGCAACTGTGGCTGAATGCTGCAAAGATCTGTGTATCATGAACGCTGCTAAGGGAACTTGGCCACAAGGTCTGTGAAGATACCCTGGTGGTAACAGGAGGCCTGAACATTCAGGCTACAGAAGTGGTGGTGGTGGTTACGCTAGACCTGTGGCTCCTCCCAGGGGGCTATGAGAGCTATGTGTGTACAGTCTACAGCCTCCACCACATTGGGGAAGCCTCTGAATGAAGTGAACCCTCCTCTGATTCACACGAGGTCAGCCTCCTTGGTGGAGAAGCGAACAGGCTCCTGGAGGTGTGCCAGCATGGCATCCAGGAAGCCATCTAGGCAGCAGCTAGCCAAGGACTCTTGAACTCCCCCGCAACTACCCCCGGAAGGATACAGTGGCCAGGAACCTCAGGGATATCAGGATCTTCTGCAAGACAGAGATAGCATTGGGAGTAGGGGCTTGGCCCTGGAGAGGATTTGGATGGCCACTCTGTCTAGGTGAACCTAATCAAGACAGAGGGTACTGATGCATGCCTGGTACTGGCAGGCATGACGACTCCACTGTCATTGCTGTACCACCCATACATAGACCAGTGGTAGTAAGTGGATATAGCACACATCAAGGATGAGGCAGGAAGATGCGCCATCCTGTCCGTAGACAGCCTGGCCCTGCAGGAAAGGGAGACAGGGATCACTATGGTGGCAGATGCCCAGAGCCACACTCTTAATCTAGCCACCGCCCTTTCCTCCCGGCAAAGTACCTACCCCCTCTGTGTGTGGCTCCTTGCCCCCCACTCTCCACCACCTCCTGGCATCTGGTGGCCATGGTGTGAACATGGGGTGTGGGACAGGCCGAAGGAATCGGCGTGTTCCCATGGTGGGACAGCCCACCTCCCAATTCCCTTCTGTGTGAGTGGCATAGCCACCACAAAATCTGGAGGCAGGGATGGCCATTGCCAGCCAAACTCAATCGAGGCCAAGAAGGCACTGTTGTACAGGTTGGTGGTGGAGCATGCAAACATTGCTCTTGTCCTACCAAGAGCAGCTCTGTGACCTCCCGCTGCCGTACCGCACTGGGACATGCTGTTTGAATAGAGATGTCCACTCTGAAGTGCTGGAACAACTTCTTTGGGCCCACTCAGAAATGTGTCCAAGCCCTCATGGCCAAAGGTGTTCCCTATCAGTGTGTGGTGAAGGAGGGGCTGCTGGGGGCAGAGGCCATCATGCAGGTGGTGATACCCCCCCCCATGGTAGTGGGTGGCTCTGTGGTGGGTGTTGTATGCAGTGTATGTCATGGCCACTGCTATCATCTGGCACAAGATTATACACCCACCCTGACCTACGTCCCTCCACTCCACAGGTGACTCGCAGGGTGGAGATGCTGGTGTGTGTCACGATTGCGCTGGCGGGCCAGGCAGGGCACGGGAGTCCGAAACACAGTCCGAGGTCAAGGTAAAGTGAGCAAAGACAGAGTAAAGTGAGCAAAGTCCAAAACACCAAGTCAAAACGTAGCCTAGGGTTACCAGAGGTTGTATTAAAGAGTTCAGAAGCCAAAAGCCGTTCGTCAGAAGTCAGGCTACACAGTCCATAGTCAGGGAGCCGGAGAGAAACAACGTCACACAAACCAGAGTCAGGAGCTGGGAAGTCAGTACGAAAACCAGGAGACAGGAACGCAAGATCCGGGGTGCAGCGAGTCGTCCAAGAGACTAGTTGCCAGCACGAGCCCGTTCCGATTGTTAGCCAATTACCGGCCGCTAACAGGGTCCTGGCTCCGGTCAGTACTCTAGGTTTAGAGGACATCGACCTCGCATGCGTGCCTCTTTTCGCCGGGTTGCCATGTCCCGTCGCCTTTGCTCTCAGAAACGAGCCACCGGTGGAGGGTGTACAGGATTAGCCCACCCAGGCCAGTTCAGGGATGGGAGGGAATCTTGTACTTTTTCAGTACATTAAAAAACAAACCACGAGATGGTCTATACCCTCTCTGGTTTCAGAACAATGTGCCACCAGAACCTCTTTTCACTAGTCCCTGCCTTTCCTAAGGGAGAGATTCCAAACCCTTAGTTAGCATCTGGGAGAGAACACCTTAGCAACTCACTTCGGAGATGCACGCTTTACTCTTACCAAGGTAGCATATGGGGTGAGCGTTAGGCACTAGACTCAGACTTGGAATCCAAGTTACAACATCATAGACAAGTTAGAAACAAGCAGGACCTTTATTCAGTACAGAGCACAGCAACAGACTATAAAAGATTACAAAAATAACAAAGGCTAGGGCAATTTGCCTTAACTACACATTAAAGATTCATAGTTACCAAGATCAGGATAATATCCAAGAGTTCAAGATTGTCCATGGTGATAATCCAGGTAGCACCAAGGGATTTTGAGTAGGAATCCCATCTCTGCACACCATGTGCTCCAAGTCACAAAGCAGGTCTTTGTTTCACAAGGGACAGCATTTCAAGTGTCATAAAACAGATTCTGACAAGAGGAGGAAGGGAGAGAGCTAAGAAAGAGCCCACTCCCATAGGGTTCGATCAATTATACTCCAATTCCAGTCACAAATTAGATGTGGTCATCAGCCAATTGCGAGTGGGCATGGGTGTGCCCAATTATTGGTTGCCATAGCTGCGTGAGGGGATAGGCTATAAGTTTGGGACCCCTCCTGCAGTCATCTGACCCCAAACTCCAGCTACTTCATGGTCTACGTGACTAGTCGCATGTGGGCCAGAAAGTGGAGCCATGAGGTCTGGCGTTTGGCATGAAAGTGTGAAGAATGTGGGTTATAAAGTTGTTCAGGCCATCTGGCCCACCATTTGGCTTGCAACAGGAAATAAGGCACAGCCTGTTATCAGAAAGACATCACAGGAGAAGGCATGAGACTTTTAGAAATCAATATTTCTATACAGAGGGGAATCAGGAGGTGTGGTGCTTGTGCTCGGCTCTGCCGGTGCGGCTCCAGGTGCAAACACTCCTGTTGACTGATGCTCATCCTCCTCAGGACTTAGGTCCAGCAATTCAAGGGGTGCAGGGAACTCAACCTCGGAAGTTGAGGGTGCAGGATCCCCTGGGTCAGGGTCCTTGGGGTCGGGCTGCATGGCGGGCA